ACAAGACGTCATTGTTGACCAGTGGAATGTATGTATGGAAGCTCTATACAGGAGTATAGTTACGGACCGAGGACACCTCGTCCATCTTGTACAATGGAGGGGTGAGAGGACCCCTGATACGCTAAAGTACCTGTGGGCCCGGTAGGTATTGAGAAGGAGTAAGAGTGTGGAATGAAGGATGCCCTGGCATTTACAGAGTAAACGTAGGAGCAGAATATCGAAAGCTTGTTTGGCATCAATGGAGAAAGCATTCCTTCTTCTCAAGGGAGAATGCAATGACATCACACGATGGCATTCTTGACTAATGGAATAGATAGTCTAAATCCAAACTGATGGTCTAAAATCATATAAGAAGACGAAAATCTGCATCGTCATTCCAACATAACACGACGTTTTGGGGTTCTTGTAATGTGCGTATATAGTGTCGCAGATTTTTCAAGCTATCCGTGTTTCCAAATTCACTTCGAAAATTATTTGCTAAACTAACACTGTTTGGCGAGAAGTCAAAATCAGTCTTGCAGAAGGGAATAGGCAAATCAAAATGGTCGGAAACGACCGAACTAGAGGATTTTCATCCAGCAGACCTCACGAGGTAATCACACAACTACTGTTACGACCATTCTTGTCTGTATGGTTGTTTATAACAAATGAGTCATATTAGTAATTTTATACTCGACCACGATCATTTTACTTTGAAGGTTTTTGAGGTTTGGTTTGGGAACTTGCATATACTTCCCAGAAAAAAAATGAAGTACAAGGAACACAACACTTTTTTATTATCTTGTTGCACCCTGTTGATCGGTGATCTTTTGAGGAGGGTAATGTCATCAAAGGTCAAAGTTAAAACATGTTTTTGGCTGGGGATGGTTCGGCGTAGATCCCATCAATGAAAGCAATTAAGACTCCCGACATCCGTTCTCGGCAAAATTCATTCCTGGAAGGTGCGCTCACCGAAACACATTCGTGGACGTAGATTATGGAGAATTGCGACTAACGACATCTCATTTGGAACAGGAATTCGATTCTACCCGTACCAGGTTATTAGAAAATTGGCCTCTTTGACAAGTCACACCGACCAATTATTTATTTACTTACAATAATTAACGACTTGAGCCTTTTACAAAAATGAAACAAAAAACCAGTCAGATTTCTAATACAAACTCGTAGGTAAAACTAAACATAAGTTAAATAAAAATAATAACTGAACAATGGTTTGATGGACAAAAGTACAAACAAAACAAATTATAAACAGAATAGGGTTAAAAGAGGCGGCCCCAAGGCTTTCTGCACCTCGACCTGATTAGATCTATTGTGCTCCTCTGTTTTTTATACCTCACTGGCCAGTTTCAAGTTGTTAATCAACCTCCATAACCTTGCCAGCGGCTCCTTAGTGTAAGATCTTGCTTGTGGTTTTTCCTGTCCTAGTTGCAAGGACCTGCACCTACATAGACCTTCACAAGAACATAAAATGTGTTCTGCGGTCTCTTCCTCTTCCTGGCAGTATCTGCAGAGTGTTTCTTCTGTCTGCACTCCTATCCGGTGCATATGCCTTCTTAAATGGCAGTGCTCAGTCACGATCTACCCACAAGGACACCTTCCTTGTGGGCCCAGCAAAGCCCGACCATCAACTCTGGTGCCTGGGGTAACCAATGATGGAGGCAATTTCCCCCCTTACCTTCCTATACACTATCCTCTTCTTATTTTCCTTTGCCTTCCTTTCCCACCCTGCTTTGGCAGAGGCTTCCTAGGTTACTGGACCCGCACCCCTCAGGAAACGGGTGCATCAGTAGGGGGTTCGTACGAACTCCCGGGTGGGCGATCAGTCCCACCTTAAAAATAACACTGAACCACAAGAGTAGAGTATCCAAGCGGCTCTACTAATTGAGGTTGGACTCGTGGTGGTCGTGGTTTGCAAACAAATTGTACCTTAGCTGGAAGGTACCGGCCAACCAGAGCAGGATATAGAGTGCTCTATCTCTCCGGGGGTGGTGAAAGGCACGGCTGAAAGGCTGTGCCAGAAACCACAAAACTGCCTTCTTCAAGGCACATGTATGGATGTGCTTTTTTAAAAGCACTTCTGAAATTGGTTAGCATTGCACTAGCCAAGGGGATGTGACAAGTATATACATGTCAAATCTTCCTGGTATTCTCCTCGAGGGTGTCTGAGAAGTCCCCTCGGGGATAAGTCCGGACGTTAAAGAACCTCACAGATCTCAACATCAATGAGAAAAGATGGGAGAATGATCTGCCCTGTCACGAGTCCAACCATAATCCTGGTTCAGTTGAGGCTGACTTCTAGTAATTCCTTCGTAAGTTTTGCTGATGGCCCTTCTAATAAAACCTAGTTGCCTAATAGTTATGTATAGCTTTTGTTTTAATAGCTGTAGTTATGTAATTGTTTCACAGCCATTCCGTGTCTTTCGCCGATGGAGGGATCCATCTACCAACTGTTTAGTCTTGTCAGTCCTACAAAGATAACAATGCAAAAACAGTAAGTTTTTAAATCTAAAAAAAACCATGCGTGGTTCGTATTATACATTTTCTAAATGACGTTATGGCCCACATTAAAAAAGCCCGTGGAAGATGAACAGGCTGATCAATAACAGAAGAAGAATTGCAGCTTGATTGAAAAGGCAGATGAAGGGAAAGTTGAGAAAATCATTCCATCAGGAAAGAGGCGGTTTTGAAATAGCAGAGCACTTAATCCTTGATTACCTCTAAAGAGAGGAATCGTAAATAACAAAATGCTGGATTTTATACGAGATTTCCTAGAACGAAAAACAGCTCTTGATACTTCACCAGTGCTTTTCTCCATGTTCCCTGTCCCGAAAAATTTTATTCTAAAAAAAAATTATTCTTCGTAATATTTACTTTGATCACAAACTTTTACAGTGGATATTGAGTTTCCAACCCCACTGATTCGTGTTTTGACCCTATAGAACAAAATGACGATGGTTACTGCCGATTAAACGCACATGTTTATTCATTTCTTGATCCTGCTTTTTCACTATTTCTAGACCAACAGAGCATTTTGTGAGAACAAACAGCATGATACACCCCAAATGATGATTTGTAATAATCGAACAGCTTAGATAAAAACTTATTTAACTGTAAAACAATTATCAACCTTGATAATTTCAGCTGCAATTGACATACAAAACACACAAACCCCAAAAATTAACTTTTGCTCAAAAACAGGTTCTATTCCTAAAGCTGGGAACACACTTACCCGATGCAACGCCATGCGACGCTACCCGACGCAAAGTATGCTCCCAGCTTTACTACTTCTCACCCTCTGACCAGCAAGACATTGGTGCTATTTATGACTCAGGAACGAGGCTGGTCACAATGTCCTACCACTTATATCCCTTTTTTTCAACTAGTTGTTAGGACTGTTTAAACAATTTTGTTTTCTTAATAAAAGGCATATAAAATCTGCACAAACCAATAAATAGACAAGTTACTGTTACTTCTTACATAAAAAAAGGCTGTTGAAAAATGCAATTAAGAAGTGTAATTAAAAATTTGAACAAAAGCAAAGAGCAAACCTAAAGTGGATGGAATTCATACCAAAACTGTACAGAGTACAAACAGTTTACTGTTAGAATTACATAAAATCATACTCTAAGCCAAAGTAGGATAATTCTGACTCAAATGGAAATCTAGATTAGTTTGTCTAGTATCGTAGGTGGTCCAAATTTTGTCTTTTTATTATACTATGTAAGGTTTATATTTTTATTATAGATAGATACTCAGGTACATAAACTCTCAAGTTAATAATAACGCCAGTGTTAAAAGAAAATAAATAAAAAATAAAAATCTAAGTAGAATTGGCTATTATTTTGATGTCATCGCCGTACATTAGAACTTTTATGACAATTCCCACATTCTTGGACAGGTCATTCAGGGGGATAAATAAAATTGGGCTCAATACACAACACTGTCATATCCCGCACTTACATATCAAAATAATTTTTATTGAATTAAGGATGTGTGTCTAATTTATGTGCATTTTCATTAGATTCTAGTAGATTGTATTTTTTTTAATTCAATATTTTGTTGCATCTGAAATTTTTGGTTACAAAAAAATTTTATGGTACATAAATATATTTTTAACTATTTACATACATAAATATATTTTCAACTATTTACATATTTACATTGATGGTAGCATATAATCAATATTATTCTCCTAATTCACTTCGCTAAATATACATCAATACCTACTCATCAGAAAGGAGGTCCCGGGGCTATTTTCTCTAGATGCCTTGAGATTACAAGGATGGTCTGAGTGAGACTGTTGGGTGAGTGATTGTAGTTGTGTTTTGTAAATTGTAAATTTGTTTTCTCATTGATAGCTTGGATTGTTATTCTGTATGTTTGTAGAGTAGACCATAACATCTGTTTAGGTCTTGTTATTTTAGTCGTGTATGCTGATACCACATTAAACATGAGTATAAGTGGAATCCGTGGTAACAAACACTGTCAGATTTGGGGATAGGATTGTGAGAGATTTGGTTTGGTGTGTAAATGTGAAATGAACACACTTGCTTTCATTATCTTCATTTGCCATTGTACAGTCTACACAAATCAGCCATACATGTAATATGTCCTTGCAGATCTTCCGAAGCAACCTCAAGATCGGGGTTAAAGGAGACTACAACTGTGTCATCGGTAAAGGATGCAAAAAAGGTGTAGGTTCAGTGGGAACATCTGCAGTATAAAGAATATATGACTGGTCTGAGTACAATGCCCTGTGATACTCTCACGGTCAGAGAGTGGTATTTGGAGCAATCTTAGTCAGACCTGAAAGAACCGCTCAGTTATATAAGAGTGGAAAATTAACTACAGGGTATTTGAAAATACACATTTTAATTTGTACAGAAAACGCTTCAGTCACACTATTCTAACACTAAAATTTAATATCGACCATATCAAGGGGTGAAGTATAAGGAAATGAAAAAGAACAGTCCATTGGTATAGGAAGAAAAATCCAAGACTAGGTAATTTGTGTTTTATTTCAATGATATAAATTGTTTTAACTCAAATTAAATATTTATCCTCTGTTCTTTGGCCCATCTCTTAATTACTCTGATTATGGATTCAACCTGTGGATTTGTAGAATTCCGCAACAGATGAATAACATTTGCAAGCAAGTCACTGTTAAAAAAATAATTTTGATAATTTCACATTTGAAAATATTGTTTTATTAAAATTGAAGTGGGACACATAAATTGCCATGGGACCTGCATACCTCACCCTCAGGCCAAAATGGGATTTTTGGTGTTTTAGCATCCTTAGGGTATAAACGAACAAAAGCATGGATCTTATCTTTTCATAAACAAAAAATGTACCAATTTAAAAAAAAAAAAAAAAAAAAAAAAAAAAAAAGCCAGGGACCACTATGGTTTGAAGGTCTTTTTTTAAATGATCCATACTCCGTACTGGTGCCAAGCAGTCCTACCTTGGCGGTCCTAACAAAAACATGTAGGGATTGTGTCACATTACTTAGGAATAGGATATAGCAATCTTATAGAAAACTGTACACACTGGGTATCATTACTAGTTGATATTAATTGCAACAAATGTCTGGATTGAGATAAATTAGCCTTAAAATTAAAAAAAAAAAATCGTCTTCAAAGAAATTTCATTGGCTAATGTGTTCGGTGTTTTAGTCCAGGACAGAGCAGTTTGAAACATGTGTTGAATGCATGGAAAAAGTGGTATTGTGACCACAACTCAATCCGTGCTGCCGTGGCACGAGGGTGAGGGTTCACTTGGGATCACTGGCATTTTACACGTTAATGAACTGATCTGTCATAATTGAGAAATTGTTTAAACACACCTAGAGCTTTTGTTAGCGATGATCATCTGAAATGCACCGATGCAAGCTCCCCTTTTACCCTCCCAGTACTCAGGGCTTGGATCCAGCCGCTCAAGGAGGTCAAACGCTTTGGCAGCGTAATAAAAATGGCCCATTCGATAACAGTCATTTGCAATGAGTAAAAGTAAATTGAATGAGTCGGGTGATGTTTCCATTTTTATATAAAGTTCCCAAGCTTGCTGAGGTTTTCCATTCATTACATCTACCAGATAAAAAAAGGTTAAATTTGAAAATAATTAAAAAAATGTAAGAAACTGACATGCCCTGGCTAAATGGCTAATATAAATATAATCGTTAACTATTTTTTCATTTTGAATCATCAAAAATGTTTCTTCAGCTTCTTTATAGTTTCCGAGTGCTGATTTTGCCTGAAAATAAACTAGGTTAACCTTTTTATGAGCAGTGTTATATCGGAAAACTTACTTGGGCATAATTATAATTGAAATTGTCATCATTAAAAAAGTAACTTTTAATCGATGTAAGATAAACATGAACATCTTCAAACTGTTTCTGCAGAAAATATAACGATGCCATGCACTGTCTTCCTGGTATTGTATCACACTCACTCTCACTGTTGCCCACCAGGAGAAAATACTGTTCAGCAATTTTTAAATGCTCCCTCTAAAAATTGCTGATAAAAGTTCCAACTGAAGATCTTTCACTCTGAACAGTTTTAATTTAACTTACTGAGTTTGTCTCTTGGCCGATTGCAACGTTCACAATACCTTTTAAAATATACTCATGGGGCACTGACGGTTCTAGATTCTTGATTAAATCGTACGCTTCAATATAATCACCCTAAAATGTGCAAATACGCAATATATATTGTATATTACTATCATGTATAAAGTAGAGAACAAATATATAAATAAAAGTAATAAATTTACTTGTTTGAAATAATAGATTACAAGGTTGAGTCTCGCTTCGGGTATCACATCAACAAGTGGCGGAAGTACTTGCAATGCTCCTATACCACTTCGAAAAACTACCAAATTGTGACGGATTAGATCGTGACCAAATGCAAAAGAAGTAGAACTCAAATCCTTAAACACAAAATATCCACCGGTTTAAAAATTTCAACACACAATTCAACACCTTCCTAACAGTTAATTGAACTTTTAAAAAAACTATTTGTTTTACCAGTAATGGTTTGATTTCATTTTCAGCGGCTTTTCCATTTTCTAATTTGAAAAAATTGCAAGCCTTTAAATTGAGGGCAATAGCCGAATCTGGGTACTTTTGTAAATATGCCCCAAGCACTTCTTGTGATACGTCATAGTAATCCAGCTTGTAATAGCACAAAGCTACATAAACATTCAAAGCCAAAAATTCCCTGTAATTATAAAATCATGATAAAATTGTATGCATCTTTGTTTCTAAAAATCTTACCTTTTATCTAGAAGGATTTTTTTATAAATGTCTATAGCTTCTTTATGATGCGAGCGAAGATAATGAAGTGCGGCCAGTGAAAGGCTGTCTTCTATTGTGTTTTCAAGTTTTTTGTGGTTTTCGATTAGCCGTACCTCATTGCCCAGTTTGTGACAGAGATGGAACAGCAGTCTTACCTTCAGTGGACAGTCTGGGACCTTTTCTAAAACCTGATCGACAAGTTTTATTTAAATTACTGTAGAAAATAAACCAATGATGGAGTACTTTGTCAGCTTGTTGATAAAGCCCAAGAAAGAAGTAGCAGCAGGCAAGGTTCACGAGCGTGTCACTTGGAGGGTTTTGTAAAGCAGCTAGCGTCTCGTAGATCTGCATTGCTCTCTTGTAGTCACCCAGGTGGAAGGCACAATACCCGAGCCATCGGTCGGTCATGCCGTTCGATTTACCATAGCTCTGCTCGAACTAAATCAAATTCTGTTTTCCTCCATTTTTCTACTAATACTTTAAAAATACCTCTAAAATTGTGATTGCACCAGTGTAGTCCCTATTTGCCAAGTATTGTTCAAGTGTGGGAATGGCCTTGTTGCTATTAGAGCTTTCTGCTGCAACAGGCCCAAATGCCGGCTTGACTCTTGAAAGGATCTAAAAAATTAAAGCATTAGACAGAGAATCAGGGAAATACCGCACTGTTGTAAGAAAAAGGTGTCTAAGGAAACGAGATTGCCTCTAGTGTTAATTTTGCAAGCCACTTTACCAATCAGACAGAAGAAACTTTGACTAAAGAAACCCATTCATCTGGTAGAGACCAGTTTTTCCATCAATTTACATATGGAAGATGTTAGAGAGATTTACCAGTAACTTGAGACCCTGAATGATGACTTATATTTTGGGAATATGGATGACTTTAGTAGCTATTGGCAAGTCTCCCTCCAAATAATAAAATATATAATAATAACAATAATTTATTTAAAATCCCTAAGACTTTATGTTGCTCTGAGGCTCACGGTTTTGATCATGCTAATACATATTTATTTTATTTTATTTATTCATTTTTACAGGCAAAAACTCATTTCTTAATAAAAATGTATACAAAAGTAAGGAGAAAAATATATACACAATACAGTGCTTATAACTAACTCATAATTGATAAAGAATGAAACACTATACTATACATCAATAAAAAAGACAATTAAATCCTTATAAATAAAACAACATAAAGATTTAATTAAACACCCTGTCTATATAATTATAACGACTAGGAATTATGCAAACAAAAATATAAAAATAATATAATAAAGCATTATAGCTCAAAAAATAAACACAAATGTAATTAAATTAATTAAAGCTTATCATTGGTTTTGTTAATGATGATTTTGATTACCGGGATGGATAATTTTTAATTCAAACAATTCTATTTTGTCGTACTCCTAATCGGCGGATTTCTTCGTACAGTAGTTGTGAAGTTATTAATACAACAGGGAACATTTTCAGCATGCCAATGACATCAAAATTAATTTCCCTTATCCAGCTCTCTTAGTTATAATTTGAGCAATTAGTTTTTGTAGGTTTCATGCTAATATTACTCTGTGTATACTCATATCAAATAATGTCTGGGTTTTTTCTTAAAAAAATAAAGCATTATAACTATATATGAACAATTTTACCAATCTATTTGAAGAGATTTATTGTTCGTAAATGTGTAAATAATCACAAAGAAACTAGTACATGTAAGGACATACCATTGCATCCACTCACACCAGCAGATTCACTGAATGTTTGTAAAGTGGTCAGCATGGCAACGGGGACAACAGACATCACCCCCAACCACCTACATAATAATTAATAAAAGTTCAGTGTCAATATGTATATTTTAATTTTGTGTTGTATTTTATGTATGATGACGTAACAATCAAGAAATTTATAGTAATTTTTTATTGATAATTATATGAAAGTATAAAACATGCAAAGAAGATAGAGATAGTCCTTTTAACATTAAAACATGCCAACTTGTTAGCAACTTTCAAAAAGATATTCAAATAAAAAAAAACTGCATTTGGAAGCTTGACAACTTAGTACGTAAAATGAAATTTGATTGTCATGTTGGGACTGAGTTGTTCTTCAAAGAAATTTGAAATGTCTATTAAAAATTTAATTATGTCAATTTGAAGACATATTTAATACTGTTTTGCCCTGATGAAAGGTTGATAGTAACAATGAATTTCTTTTTTGCAAGTCCATACTGTGATCCAAATTATTCGATAGTACTGATTGTAAAGGATGGTGCAATAAAGGCAAATCGTTTTTATCATCTCGTGATTCCATCACCTTCTACAAGCTAAAAAACTCTATGATTAAAATAATATAAATTATATAAGTAGGTGAAGTAATGAGGAGCAGTCAGGTTTGATCATCAAAAAAACACTTTTTCATTTAATTTGTCTACCTTTATACCGGTCATCTTCAAAGCCTGAGTAAATACTATGAAATAATAATAATATAAATAAATATATTATGTCATTATTATTTTATCTATTTATTTTTTGTGTCACCTCATCTAGTCACAGGGAAAATATATTATTTATTAGTAAAAGATGCAAGTAATGCATGAAAACTGTCCTCATAACAAAGGTTGGTCTGAAGATTATAGAATACAGATACAAGTTACAAAATAATACAAAACCTTTTTTTTTAAACAATGCTTGCATATTATTTTTCACCTTATATTGTTTTATTTATTGAGTTTGAAATAAGGAGGGTAAAAAAAGATTGAAAAGGCTTCTGCCAAAGCACTGTTTCACAAATAGCAGGTTATTCACCTTATCACTTATCATTCTTTTCAGAATCGCCAGTCGGCAAGATTTATCCTTTTGCTATCATCTTGAATTTGATGATTTTGATGATTTGAAAAATGGTCCAGGGTGTCAAACATATCATCCTCGTCCTGTCGGGGAAAGGAGGCGTCGGCAAATCCACTGTCAGTGTCCAGTTGTCCCTCGGTCTCAAAGAAAAAGGATTCAAGGTATAAACATACTCCTTGTTTTATTTTAATTCTATTTCAGTTTGATAGTTTTGATGTTCCACATATCTTAGTTAAAATGTAATTAATTATTATTCTTGTTGTATAAATTTTATAGTTTTTGATTGAATAATCCTCTATGGCATGAGGTTTCGACAGGGGTGACCAATTGAAATCCCCAGTTACCTTTATTTATTTATTTTTTATTACCTATTGATTACAGTATATAATATACAAATTAGCCATAAAATTCAAATACAAATATAAATATAAAAGCGACATTCAAGTCAAAATGAATTTACCAACCACTTTTTAGTCTCGGGTTAAGGATGAAAATCACCATTTATTTTATCGTTTTACCACCAAATACTTTTATACATGACAAAGAAGAAAATAGGTATAAACTGCTCAAAAATGAATAGGGATATTGGCATTTTTGTAGTATTTTCTTTACCTAACATTTTCATTTTATTTTCATTATAAAATACATTAAAATTGATTAGACATCACTATGTTTTTTAATGAAGGAAAATTTAATCAAAGGATTTTAGAAAATTACAAAATAAAATATTTTAATTCCATAATTTTGTTTATTGGACACAATATTTTTTTAAACAATTAATACCGTGTATATTGTCATCTGTTAGCTAAAACCTCTGTGAACTTGTTAGGCATACTGTTAATAAAGTTGTCACTAATTTCATAAGGAATTTCACCCCAAAGATGTTTCAATGCTGCACTCAGTTGCTGTAGGTCAGCTGGCTGCGGATGGTGATCGAAAAGCTTTCTCTGCTCCGCATCCCATATGAGCTCAATGGGATTGAGGTCTGGAAACAATGGGGGAAGGGGCAAATGGCAAATTCCCAGGTTTTCTAATGATGAACAACTCTGCCTCATGAGGTCTGGCATTGTTATCCAGAGATCGAAAATCATTGCTTATGAGATCCCTGGTTTGAGGGACATATCCCTCGATACTTGCCGACATAACAGGCTGCGGTGAGGTTGCCTTCAATAATATGGAGTCCAGTTTATCCTCCAGCCCAGACCATTACACCACTTCCTCCAAACTGTACTGAATGGACCACGACCTGGTGCATTGTACGCATCCCCTGTTCTCAGTAGATCCTTTGGCGCCTGATTACAGACAGAAATCTGACTCATCGATAAACATAACAGCATTCCAATTGGTGTTCTTTTGTACCATATTCTCCTGAGTTGATGGTGACAGGCTGTTGCTGTAGGTTATCTCAAAGGGGCATACGATGTGAGGCCAAATTCCCATAAATGATTACGAATTATTTGTGTTGATAAAGGCCTTGCCAAACAACCTTGTACTTCATTTAGGATCTGGCATGCATTACAGGGTTCCGTCTTGTAGCAGTGACAATATTTCTATCCTCCCTTGGCATCGTAATGCGCTGAGATTCACTACAGGCCTCCTATCGGCACTTCCTAAAGCCTGGAAGACCACGCTCTGAGAAACACCAACTGCCTCTGCAATATCCAGTTGCCGGTGACCTCGGTGACTCATTCTCACAATAATATTGTGAATTTCTGGATCAAGATGAAGTCTTTCCATGTTTAAAGAGAATTCAACTGGATTAAAATGTAGAGAAGACGAGAAAAGTTGATTGTTTACAAAATGCATAATCTTCATGTTTACTATTCTTAATTAAATCCGTTAATACTAAAAATAAGGATTAACAAATTTTTGGTTTTGGCTTGTATTATCTTATTTTGTTTTATTCAACTAACAAGAATATATAGGTTAATTTAATTAAAATTAATAGAATAAGAATAAATTGCAAATAAACCTATTCATTTTTGTGCAGTTTACATGAGAAAGTAAGAATGCCAGATGTCTTAAAATAATTTCTGTACCATTTCCTCCGTTTTATTCTCTTTTGCACAGAAAACGCCCTCCTCCATTGGCCTGAGGGACAAACACAGAGGATTTCATTTCAGCAATAACTTCTCATAAAATAATTTGAAATGAAATTTTAAGGCTGTGTAGAGTAAGATATTACTCTAATAAATAGTTACGCTAATAAAAGCTTAAGTTAGGTTTTTTTCTTTTGTTACATAAAAAAAGTACCAAATGGAATATTAATGTCCAACCGCAGTTATTGTTGTGAAAGAGCAAAAATTAATATGTATGACACCACAATATATCAAATTTTAATTCTACGTTCATAATTTTTGTAGAATATACTTTCACTCATTCTTTTTTATTTAAAAAGTTTCTTACCAGCTATAGTGTTTATTTTTTTCATTTTGAAGGTTGGCCTTTTGGATATTGACTTGTGTGGCCCAAGTATACCGTATTTACTCGATCTAGAGGGCTCTCCTGTCCATAAATGCCCAGATGGATGGGTCCCGGTCTATACGGACAAAGACCAGTCATTGGCCGTTATGTCTATCGGATTTCTATTAGCCAACAAGACAGACAGCGTCGTATGGAGAGGGCCCAAAAAAAACAGTGAGTTAATATTGTTAAAAAAAACCTGATTAACACAGAGGCAATATTAAAAATGTTCTTTTTATGATACAAATATTATATAAGAAAAATTACTTTGTTTAATTTGTCTTTTGCTCAGGTATGATAAAACAATTTGTTAATGATGTCTACTGGCAGGAGCTTGATTATTTAATTATTGACACACCTCCTGGCACATCAGATGAGCATATCACTATCGTCGAATGTCTCAAGTAATATTTTACATATTTTTATCTAACCATCATGTACTACAGATATTTTAAAAACAAAAAGGGACTCGTGCGATGGTGCTGTTCTGGTCACTACACCTCAGGCTGTATCATTGGAAGATGTCCATAAAGAAATCACTTTCTGCAAAAAGACAGGGGTCAACATACTCGGATTAATCGAGAACATGAGCGGCTTTGTCTGCCCCAATTGTTCGGTATAAATTTATACAATTAAAAATGAAGAAAAAATGTATAATTTATTTTTTTGTAGGAATGTACGAATATATTTTCAAGTAAAGGAGGCAAATCTCTAGCAGAGCATACCGGCATACCGTTCCTAGGTACAATACCCATCGATCCGAATATCGCTCGCCAAAATAAAAAAAGCATTTTAACGGTGCACCCAAATTCAAAAATAGGAGAGGCATATGACCACATTATAAAAACACTTACATGTGAAAAAATGGAAGAGTAAATCTTTTAATTTAATACGTGTATTTTATAAAATCTATTTTGTTATCGTTTAATAAATATAGAATATTTTTTATAACATTTTTACATGTTTCCTTGCTTGTGTGATAGTGGTAGGAAAAGCTAGGGAGATTTTTCTGAAAGACCAATACAGAGCGAATAGGCAGATCAGGATGATCAATAATGACCATATTAAAAGTTATGAAGGTAAAAAACTATTTGGAAGGAGCAACTTTTTTTATTATTATTTTTTTTTTAAACATGTTTTAAAACTATTTAACGACATTTTGGTTAAAAACCATTATGTGGAATGGAGAAATTTCTTGCTTTATGAAATTCTTACGTCAAACTTTTGCAAGTTTCACTTTTGAATGAAACAACAATTATCAAAAATTAATACTCTATTAGCAAGTATTGATTATTGTGTCCTAAATCGGCATTTCTTGAATATCTAATATAAGGGCTCTAACAATACATTTAAAAATATTCGTTGTGTACATTTAAGTTTTATAAAGCCACTTCAAAATTAAACTAATATATTTTTTCAATATTTTACAAACAATATACTTGTACATTACATACCAAATAACATGATTATATGATTAGTTTGTAATCGAACTTACAAACTTTGACAAATTAATACTGACATTCAGATCAAGTATAATAAATTTATGAACACTTGTTCCAGTTAGTAAAGCTTTACTTGAAATGCACGACAAAGCATCGAAAGTTATTTTTGTACTTTTCTGTCAAAGTAAATCTTAACTTTGTGTCGAGTGTGATATTCAGTCATTGATATGCGGTATTTTTTAAACGGCGTTTCATCTCCTTGGAGGCCTTCCATAAGGCCCCCTTCCTTTTTCTTCTTCAACCAGCTTGTAGTAGCTGAAGACTACGAACCACAAGTAGATGAAAATTGCTGGAATGGGAACAAAGTTAAAACAATTGTGTAAGTTATTCCAATAAGTATACAATACAATACAAGTATACAACAGACAAATAAGTATCAATTTTGTCTGTTATTCCTTTAATCTATATTTTAAGGAAAAACTCACCGACTGAAATCAAACCGAAAACTAGCCAGAGGCAAGCTGAAAACACCTCTTCGTGCATGATGAACACTACTGCTGTATAAATGATAGATACAGCCATGCCGATTGCAAGCATTATCGCCAACAACACCCATGGAAGCATAAGCCATCTATTTCTCTGGTAAGTAAAAAATAAAAATTAATCTTGTCTAAATATAAAATTATTATTGTTTTAAAAAAACACCAGAATAATAGTAGCAATAAGAAATTACCTTTAGTGCACCAATAATTAACAGAAGTGATATCAAAATTGTCATAACAAGATTTATAGCCAATATAATTTTTACTGAAATCAAACAAAATTTTTCATTACATATATAATTTTTTTATGCTATATAAATGTCATTACCTATTTCTGGAGGGAGAGTATCTATAATTATAGTCCTCATTTTAACTTTTGTGACTAGAATAATGACCAACGTTCCTGCTCCAAATAACTAAACAATAAAAGGAAACTTTAATGGCCTCTAAACAAAAATTAATGTTGTATTTAAAGTTATTGCACTTTAATATGTGGTTGTAGTAAACATAAAATTGCTTACAATTCCAAGTATTCCACTTATTACTGTCCCTACTTTGAGGGACAGCCCACAGCATGTATTTAAAAGCGGCATTTTCCTGGTAAAAAAAATGAACAAACAATTAATATTGAAAATTGAAAAATATATATTTTTCATCATAGCGTTAGTTTTTAAAATATAGTGGTAGAATTAGTGTATATTTTGTTGACTTGGATGATTATGTGTAAAGATTTTGTCTGTCAGAAAAATATTTATTTTTTATTTTTGTAAATCATGGTAATGGAAATAAGAACAGATTCCAGATATTATGATAAATTTATAAGCCCATCACTACATGGAATTTAAACCCTGCGTTTCTAGTGCGGTGGGGGAGTTGGCAAGGTCATGTAGGTTTCTTTTTCTTTTTTTTCAAAGTTGTTGCATCTTTTCGAGATACATTTTCCTCATCACCTATTCTCTTTTTTTGTCCAATAGAAAAAAAAATTACTAACGAAAATAATATCTTATAAAATATATTACAGGAAATTACAAACATGGTATAAAGCTGACTTCCATAGCTTGATATTTCTTTATGCAACATAATAATTTCATTTAGTTTAGTGTTACATAAAATAAACCCTGAATCGGGATTAAAACATAAAGAGGATATAAATGAACAGAAAAAAAAAAAAGCAAACAATCATATAAAATAAAATGCACTTTTCTTTTCCTCCCCTTTATTGGCGTCTTAAAATATGAAATAAAATTTAAAATATTCTAGCAGACTAAATTAATGTCCGCAAAGTTACAGAAATCCTTTTTCCTACTCGCAAATTAAATTAACAGAGTTGTGGATATGCCAAATTACTAACAATTGTTGAGAAAACTACTTTCTATGTAGAGCTGGCAAAATTTCGGCCATTGTGGGCCGTACACAAAAATTATGAAGGTGTTCTCCAGTAATCAAACTGCACAGAAAGTCTGAGTGGGTCCTTCCTCAACCAGGGCATTTAATTGAGAAATGGTAACTCCACCTCAATTGACACATGTTCTATCCAAAAACACTGAATTTCATATCTGACTCTAAAAGAGTTATGTACAGGAGAAAGTGGACTGCATCCTCACAGCCTCTTCCCGATCAACTTTTTTAAAAATCTTATGTATAAGTGTAAAACGTTGAGTCTCCCACCTGGGCATATTCTCTTTAGAATGAACAAACCCACAAGGCAGGAATTAAACTAGAGAACCCTATGCCTAAGTACATAGAGCTACAGCATTTACCGATGATCAGCAAGTCCTGATGAAGTCTTCAGAAAATATCTAAATAAGGTTATGATTTCAAAAAATTGTTAATTAAAAACATGTCAGTAGGAATAGGTAGAGCCAGTTGCCATTGACAACTCTCACACTGCACACACTAATAAATACATTCAGTCTCAATACACACAAAGAAATATAAGATGAGATATCTATAAAGTACTTTATACAGTAAAACAGACCTGTTTCCTTTAAAAATAGAGCCCAAATATTTGCCGCAGTGCTCAAGCACAATTCTTATATGGGACTTCCTACACGCTCTCTATATGTACATGCGGGACACATCGAAACCCTTCCTCGACAAATCTCAGCCTTAATGTTATAATTTATGTAAAAAATCAGGGATAAGACAAATTTGAAAGAAAGAAAACTCAGTTCGTTAATCAAGATTTCGAGTAATAAATCCACTTCATCAGGATTCTAAAACTATTTCTAACAATTTACACAATTAACAAATATTAACTTCTACTTCCAATATTAAAAATTATAGCTTTAACCACTATGAATTTAGCTTAGCCGAGTGGACAAATAGATTTTGTCTACATGTGGTTGAATCTCTGTTTTCCTTTCTTTCAAATTTGCCTTACCCATGATTTTTTATTCATAATTAAGTTTTATTTGCTGACATATCTCTGTTTTATATACGTACAAATATATAAATAATAATATATTTTTTTTTATAGAATAAAATGTTTCTTGAGGAAACATACTTATTGGTAATTTTATTTAAAAATCAGTGAGGAATTTCTTTGTATTTCATATTTCAAATTAATAATTTTGAACATTGTTAATTAACCATGAGAAAATAATATAAATAAAGTAGAAAAATCAGAACAGTACAAATATATACTATCTTTTGGAAAAATGCAACTTTCAGTTACTAAGAATATATATATTTTTTAATTTATAAAGAGCAATGTGTAATAAAGTAGCTAATATCGATTAAAACTATAAGCGTTTGTAAGCAAAACAAAAGAGATAATTTTTTTTTCATGATAAACCAGACAAACAGAGATAAAAATCTGGTTTAAGCTTGGCTTCGCGGGAAATGCTTGATCGTGGTAATTTTTATTTTATTTTATTTATTTTACCCACGATCTGTCCATCTAGATATCAATGAGGTATTTTTTAACTCAGTGAATGAGGGAATGAGTAGGACGTGGCTGGATGGTGGGATGTCCGTGTAGGATGCACTCTTGAGGTCAGCTTCCAACACGCTTCCTCTGTTTGGCATCAATTTCTAAAAATAAAACTGAGCCAATTGCCACCTGGTATTCTTCTTGTAAACGATTCTCGCGGTTCGGTGAAAATTCGGAAATTTTTTTATAAAATGGATTAAGGAAGCCGGCCGTTCTGAATATGGACCGATTGTTGACCCAGCAAGCATATCAAATTGTAAAAAAAAATAGAAATCTATATTGAAATCTGCTATAACTTAAGACGATCTGCGTTATTTGCAGTATTATTGTACGACCGAAATAAAAAGCGAGCATAAGCGGACCGGAACGATCAGAACAGATCAAATTTGACAAACCGCCCAACACAAAATGACATGTGCCTAACTGTAAATGTATAAACGAATTTTTACTATTATAAAACATGCCCAGGTAAATGTTTTCTATGCGAAAACACTATAATATTGAGTTAACTGGAAATAAAAAAAAAAAGCTTCAACTGCTAAGGATTAGATCTAACAGGTCGTTTATCCCCTGGGGTGAATACTAACGATATACATGTAGTCCGGCTATTCCAACTGTTTTGTAGGATAGAAAAAGCAACTCGACTTAGAAGTGATGCTTGGTCGGTCACGGTAGCGGTTCTAGCGGTACTTCAAGACTGGTAAATGTTTTTCTTGTCCCCTATTTGATTTGGTTGACGACGATTAAACCACTAACAGTCTTTTGGCATCTCACCTAGTCGAGTATATTAAAAGTTTAACGTTTTACAAATTTAAAAAAAATACAGAGTGTAATTCGAACGGTTGCAGACTGTTGATATATTAAAAATGGGTGTACTAAAGGAACGAATTAAATCCGAAACAGAGAGGTTCACTACTTCTCTCCATTTATTCATAAGAATATAATTAAAAATTGAATATACAGTGCTCACTCCCTAATCAGAATTTCGATTCTTCGAACTGGAAAAAATGCAAATTGAAGTATTTTAAAGGAAACATGTTTGGGGGAGAGAGAGAGGAAACGAGAGAGTGAATGAGTGAGAAAGGGGAGAGAGTGAGTAACTGAGAGAGCAAAGTAAAGAGAGTGAGTGAATGAGATGGAATGTGTAAGAGTCAAAGAAAAGAGAGAAAATTAGTGAATGAAAAAGGGGAGAGAGTGAGTATGTGTTGTGGGTGAGAAAGGGGCGAGAGTAAATGAGAGTGAGTAAATGAAAGAGCAAAGGAGAGAGAGTGAGTGAATGTGAGAGAATGTGTACGAGACAAAGAAAAGGTCCAAGAGAGCTGACTGCGTGATTAAACAAAACAAAACTATCTAAACTAATTTTTTTCTTATTTAGGATAGTGTTAGTTTGAAGGATTTCTCTCTCTCTCTTTCTTTCTCTCTCTCTTTCTTTCTCTCTCTCTTTCTTTCTCTCTCTTTCTTTCTCTCTCTTTCTTTCTCTCTCTCTTTCTTTCTCTCTCTCTCTCTCTCCCTCTCCCTCGCCCCCTCTCACGTTCTTTCTCTCTAAATCCGAAAATGAGAAACCATCTAAACTAAACGTTTTCTTATTAAGATAGTGTTAGTTTGAACGATTTCTCTTTCTCTCTCTCTCTAATTCTGAGAATGAGAAACTATCTAAACTAAATTTTTTCTTATTTAGGATAGTGTTAGTTTGAAGGATTTCTCTCTCTCTCTCTCTCTCTCTCTCTCTCTCTCTCTCTCTCTCTCTCTCTCTGTCTTTCTCTTTCTTTTTCTCTTTCTTTGCCTCCCAACATGTAAAGGAGATCTAATCCAGACATATCTATCTATTTTTTACACCTATTATCAGCTCTCTTCATCTATCTTTAATTATACATATATTAAATATACCTATCTATTTATTTATCTCTTCGACTCTATAATTATTTATATATTTCTTTCCATCTAACAACCAAGGTACTTAACTATTTATCAACGAATCTTAATCTATTTTTCTCTCTCTATACTTCTTCCAATTTGTATAAAAATATTTTTCTTCTACATGATACTTAGGTAGGTTTATTGAGAAAATATGCAAGATAACAACAACTATATTCGATTAGTTTGCCCTTGGCAACAAACAGAAAATTATAAGTTTATTATTAAGAAAAAATCGTTTTTTGAAGAAATAGAACCACTTTGGATTTGGTTCCAACAAACATTGCATTAAAAAGCTCCATAATACATGATACGCAATTTTCCTTGGAATGAAGAACAAAAAATTTAAAAAATTATAACAGTAGGCATTTGCCTCTTCCAGTGTGTTAATTGCAACCCGATGCTGAGACTTTTGACCTTCGATTTCGAAAAGGGTTCCAAACGAAGAACCGCTCATTCCGCGGGATTAAGGTTTTGTCCTCTTTGGATTTCGTGCTCAAGCAGACGCCCGGAGGGGCTCGTTAAGTGAAAGAAGGAGTGGCAAAATGTTCCGAAGGACGCCTACACATTTCTGCCTCGACCCAACGGAAAGACAATAAAGTCCAGAGTTCCAGATTTTAAACGGGTACCATCCAAAAATAAGCATTTCCCAATTGGCTAAATATAAGACGAATTTCAACACCGTTGAACCGGATCTTCGATTTTCACATTTTCTCACCGATTTTTTGTATATTTTTTATCTAGACGG